GTGGGTTGGTTAATGGGTGGGTTGTTGAGTTGCTTGGTTGGTGGGTTGATTGGTTAGTTGGTTGGTTGGGCTGCACATGTATCATAAAAATGCTGTGGGTTCTCCCTCGGCGCTCAGTTCAACAGTAAACATCTTTACGAGATGAATTCTCCTGCTAGTCCAAAGCTGCATCCCAGCTGACAAATGAAACAACAGCTGGCACAGGGGGAGGTGGAAGTTGTCTCTGCTGTTTTCACTAGCACGCTGTTTTTAGATGCTAATTTAAACAACAATCCTTATAGTTAATAAAATGTATCCAAGTGGTGGTGGGAAGTGAGCATGTCACGGAGTGTATAAACTCATTTTACGATTCTTTACCCCTTCAGTCGCTCCGTCTCTTCTCAGCTCATTAGAGAAACTGAGCGCTGCCACTGACCACCTCAGAAAATGATTGGTTGAGACAGGAAGTAGTGCAGATGATGACACTTTTGATGGTAGAATAACTAGAATGAATATATTGAATAACTGATCCATGTTGCATTAATCGCAGACTGGTATAAGTTTTTTTTGTTTTGTTTTGTTTTTATGGGATATCGTACAGTTTGTGGCATATTGTTTATAACCGGATGTTTTTACAAATGTAAACTTCTACAGGTCAATTAATCATCATCTTTGAAACCTAAGAGGGTTTTTTGATTAGAGATTAGATTGATTTAATGAAAAACAAGTATATACTTGGAAAATAAATGTTAAGCTTGTGATTGTTGCCTGCACAAAAAGAACAGTGATTGGACCCTGTGGTCGCAGGCTGCGGTCGAGCCAAACGAGGCTCTCAGACTGATGAAGAGCAAGCCTGGCTTTATGGTTGATACGTGGTGGTGAGTGACTCCAGTGTGCTACAAACAAAGGAACAGTGGTATCAGAGAGATCAGAGGTCACAGTTTGAAAGATGAGACGTTTCATTCAAAGGAATTCTCACCAGTTAATGTGAAAGGAACCACTTCACTGCATTATGGGCTTTTAAGGCGTGTCGAACTCTGTTTTACTTGGAGATGCAGTGCATGAGTAGATAATTAGCAAAACCAGCTGGATTATTTGACCACTAAGGTCAAAGCCACATTGCAATCTTTCCATTTCCATACGGTTTGTTTCACTTATTTATAGTTGGGTTGCAGAGGTAACAGGTCCATATATGCAGAGAGTGGTGAAGGCTGCACAGAAATCTGTTGGAATCAGTCTCCCCACCATCACAGACATCTACACCTCCAGATGCAGGAAGAGGGCCACCTGCATCATGAAGGACCCCACCCACCCAGCACACACACTTTTTGCCCCACTCCCCTCAGGAAGGAGGTTAAGGAGCATTAAGTGTAGAACCACTAGACTGAGGAACAGCTTCTACCCTGAGGCTGTTAGACTCATGAATCTCTAACTAGAATAATCACTGTGAAAAACCATATCATGTTGCTGCTGATCTGTTTCATGTTGCTGCTGATCTGTTTCAATGTTGATGTGTTCATGCGTGCACATCTGCTCACAGACTCATGTTCATGTTTGTGGTGATGTTCAATGTTTTATGTTATGAGTGCTTAGTGTATATTTAGTTGATGTTTTTCTTAGTTCACATCTTAGATGTTATTACTGTTTTTCTTATACATTTTATTGTTGGATGTAACTGGGACCCTGTGTACATAATTTCGCTCCACCACATGTACCACATGAGGTGCGAATGACAATAAAGAAACTCTGACTCTGACTCTGACTCTGATATGGAAAATCAAGACATCGCTCTCTCCGGTGGCAATCTTCAGCTCCTTCTTGGGAATAATATGGTGTTTACATGCCGGTGAGGATATATAATCCCTAATCAGAGTTTGGGATTTATCCTGGGGTCTCCACTGAGTTGGATGTACCAAAAACCCCTCCAGATCCAGGCACTCGGGAGACATCAGAATCAAATGCCTGAACCACCTCAGTCGACTCCTTTTGATGAGGAGGACCAGCTCCAAGTCATTCTGTCTCTAAACTTACTATCTTTCTGGGCTGCTAGCATCTGACTGATGACTTAAACCTGACTCAATATAAAAATAATACACATTTTGTTACAGTATTACTGAATTCTGAGTGTTTGCAACCAAATGCACAATGTGACCACATTGTGATTAATATATTTTTATTTAAATTTTGTGTGCACGGTTTGCAAAACTGTATTTTAGGCAGGGAACATTATTTTGTCGCCAACCTCTGCCCACATTGTACCTGCCTCGACAGCAGCACTCATTTTTATGATTTACTGGAGTGCATATTTAAATTAAGACAGGCAGGTTTGGAACAATTCTATAATAATTATTATCTATTATCGGCATATTTTTTTAGACCTGGACATGCTTCTTTTAGAGGAACGCTCCCATGAAGGTGTCTAAATACTTGGGGTGCAACAATACGTCAGTTTAAATTGATATATCGATTAAATGATTAATGATTCGATTACATTATGACAAAACTAAAATATCAATTCATATCGTCATCTTTAAAATACACTTTTATTTTGAAATTCCCAATGCACGTCTGTGTCGCCATTTCCGTGCGTGGCTGCGCTCTGCGGCCGCCTCAGCAACATGGCAGACGAGGCAGAAAACACAATGAAATTCACTCACTCTGCTGCTGGATGTAAATGAACACTGTGGAAATATTTTGGATTCCCACAGAAGGACGACTCAACAGACAGAACTCGTGTCGTGTGCAACAACAGGTGCCAGTGTGAGTTAAAATACTCGGGAAACAAAACAAATTTGGTCGTTCGCCTGAAGAAGAAACACGACATTGATAGCCATGTTATGTAAAATCAATATCTATTTTTGTTTCTAAGAAATGTGAGACTATACTGAACAGGTCATTTATTTTTATTTTTTCATTAATTAACAAAAAATTTTTTTTATTTAAATGCCTGGTGCCTGTAATGACAGAAATAAAACGGTTAAATCATATTTGAATTGCTTTTTGTAAATTTATTTATATGTAAATGAGATGGACATTTGATATCGCAATATATCGATCTTAGACGTGTGAATCGAATAGAATCGAAATTGTATCGTGACAGACTTTGTGATATCGAGAAAAATCGTATCATGATACAAACAAATCGATATCGTATCGTGGTAAAGCTGCTGATTTACACACCTAGTAAATACAGCTCTAGCTCTCTTGATGGGTTCAAGACATTAGTGACTTTTTAGAGAGGAAAATTTGTCTCCATTTGTTTTAACATGGTAAAAAGTCAAAATTGCATTTTTTTTTTTTTTTACTCAAGCGAGGTAGTTAAGAACCCTGAAACACCCTTTGTGAATACTGTTTGTCAGCTAGCCGTCAGCAGTCGGAGCGTATGAGAGCCCACCTTAAGGCTGAGCCGGGCCACCCTTTGGAAGAAGCTGCTTGGATCCAGGATCTCACTCTCTCAGTATCTCATGACCACATGTGATGCTAGAACATAGACAGCAGGACCCTGCAAATCTGCGTTATGTAAGACTTGTTGAAAAACAGCAAAAAAAATGTCAAATCATGTCATCTGGACCAGTTTTAAAAAAAGTTGTAGCAGAGCAAATGAGCAACTCTGTCATTTTGGTGTTGCTAGGGACTGCTCTAGTTTTGCCATCTTGTTCGGTCAAACTGATCTGAGATGTTGTAGCGCTCAGCGTTGCTCTTGTGTGCATTTTAAATACAGCTTGAACAGGAAAAGAAACGTTAGCTCGTCCGTTTTTGCTTGTATCAAACAACCACTTAATGCAATGGAGAAGATTTAAAACCATAAAACCCAAACTTTTACAATCTCCGAGTTCAGTAGAAGCTCTCTTGGCTCGTGAAGTCTTCGATCTCAGGAAAATGATGTGAACAGGAGCTCAGATTATCCACAATGCAAATTCTGCTTTTTGTGTGCCAGCCGGGCCGGGCTATCATAAAACAACTTGATGGATACGCAGCCAAATAAATAAATAAAAACACTTAGTTCTCTTCTCTTTTTTTCCTGTTTCAATCGCTCCTCTCATGGCTCCTCTCTGATGGATTTGTAAAATAATATAACGAATGAGACTTAAAGTGAGAAGGAAGCAGGGAGGCTGGGCAGGAGGGATGAAGGCAGCGCAGAGAGAGACAGAGCACATGATTTATTAGACTCATAAAAATTCTGCCTCTGTTATTCCCACTCATTTTTATATGTGACGCTTATTAAAGAGCACACCTGCCAGAGTCCTCAAACTTTGTGTGTGTGCATGTGCGTGCAGTTCCGTGCATTTGAAATGATACGAATGCGCATTTGTTGACACGCTGAGTGGATAAGTTTCCTGCTGGTTTCTGCTTCTGTGTGCGTGCGTGCGTGTTGGGTTGTGTAGAATTTCTCACTAAGCCGTTCCTAATTATTACTGTCCACAGATCCTGCGTCTTCGTTTTACAGAAGCCCCGCCTCCCAGCGGGTGTTCAGGACACGCTACAAGATGGTGACCCGCCCGAGTTCTGGCACCTTGACCTACGCTCTCCCCTACCACCCCACCCTCTCCTGGCGGACCAAGAAGATCCAGTCTGCCAGGTAATCTGTTAACAGATACATGCGCGTTTATAAGAACTCTTCAGTCATAACTGGAAGAGATCAGGTATTTATGCCGCTGCTGTTTACACAGAAGATAACCAATAATTAACCATTTAGTCGCCAGAGAGCTTCATCATTATGAAGTATTTAGAAGGGTTTTTGCTTCTGAAGATTTCGAGTGTATTAAGGTAAAAAAAAAAAAATAATAACTTAATCAATGTGCACGAGTAGCTGAAATTAATTAATTTACAATTAGATGATATTACGTCAAACATACAAACGGATACATTTGTTGGGACTCTTCCACAGAGAAAAATAAAATAAAATGTGACGTGAGACTAAAAGCTCCAGATTTGTCTCATCAGTCCCAGAACCTTTGGTCCTGGATCTTCTTCCGTGGAGTCCGTTTAACATATGGTGGATGGTGTGACCAGAAAGTGACGACACTTTTAGAGTTCAGCTTGAATGGTTTTAGATCAAACGTGGGCAATATATGGCCCACGAGCCAAATGTGGCCCTTTGACCATCACCATCCGGCCCCCAAAATTCACAATAGGAAAAAACTATCTTTAAAAAAGTTGATGAAAGTTTGCAATTTATCAGTGAAACTTAAGGGAATTTAAATTAAACGTGTTGGTCAAAAACATTGAAAACATTTAAGTGAAAGTGTATTTTAAGTTTTGTTGTTTCCAGACTTGACTAAAACTTAAAGACTTTTAAGACACTTTTTTATTCTGTATGTATTTAGGCTAACATATTCAGAGCTCATTTACATAAATAAATAATATTGGGAGACATGTTTTTATCTTGCATGCTAACTATGCTGCAACAAGAAAAAGCTTTTTAAAAAAAGTTTTCCGGATTATCGGTCTTAAAAGATGCATCTTCAAATTCTCAATGTGGCCCTTCCATTGCGTTAAATATTTTGATTTGGCCCTCGATAAAAATGTTTCTCATCCCTGTTTTAGATGTTTTTTTTGTTTTTTTTTCCATTATCTGCATTATAATTTTGCTCAACATGGGGTCGTATTTTTTCTTGCGTCCACGTTCTAGGTGGGTGGCTACAGTTGCATTAACTTTCTATTTTATTTATTTTATAATGTCGTCTGTGGTCAGAGGAACATGAAGCTGCTTGGAAAAGATCCTGAAGTCTTTACCTTTAATGTGAATTTAATCCTGCCGGTCCGATGTCCCTTTTGATTAATGCACCACAAGTGATTTTTAACTAAATATAATTATATGGAAGAAAAAAGTAAAAGTACAGCAGAACAACAAATATCTGGCTTTTTCATCCATCCATTATCTTTACCCGCTTCTTCCAGTTTGGGTCACGGGGGTCGCTGGTGCCCATGTCCAGCAATCACTGTGCGAGGGGCGGGGACACCCTGGACAGGTCTCCAGTCCATCACAGGGACACATAGAGACAAACGAGACGAACAACCATTCACTCTCTCACTCACACAGGCACCCGGATCGGGATTTGAACCGGGGACCTGCTCGCTGAGAGGCAGCAGCTCTACCAGTTGCGCCACTGTGCTGCCCTGGCTTTTTCGCGTGAAAACAACTTTTCTAATCTTTTATTTATTTTCTTAAATATAATTTTTTTTTATGTCATTGAAATGTCTTGAAGTTTTGAAAGGTCCTCAACAAACTTGGAGAACTTTTTATTGGATCGTCTTTGCCGTGAAAAAGTTCGTTTTCAAGAAAACCATATAATTTAAATAATTTTACGCGATGTGTTTGATTGTTTGTGAAGGGGTGTGTATCATTTGTGTAATCCAGATTTGGTAAGGCAGAGGGGCCCTGGTTGTTGGCTGGCCTCAGCCTCTGGTGACTTATTACTATTCATTTAGCTGCTGCAGTAAATATTGATTCATCAAGGGATTTTCAATTTGAGCCTCTTGACATCCTGTGAAATATCACCATGTGTACAAGTGAGGAGAGAGATAGGCAGGGAGGGGGACAGGTCAGGTCCCATAGGAGCTGTCCTCACCCCCCACCGCCCCTTTTACCCATTCTCCCTTCATACTTATGTATCAGTTAGACCAGCTCCAAAGACCTGCATGAGCTCATGACTACCGAGCGCTGCTCACCTCTGCTTTGTCACATCTGCTAATCCCATTCAGCTGAAGTCTCGTGCCTTTTCATGTACATCAAAAAATACCCGGAACAAACAATCCTAAACTGTGACACACTGCAGCACAATTTGTTTGGAGGCAAGTTTATTGTTCTTGCTTGGGTGCAGACTTTTTGTTTGTCACAGTTTTAAAAAAGTTGTCGTCTTTGAACCCCCACTTGTTCGTGATGGTGATGGACAAGGTAGGTGAGGTCAAGCAGGAGTTCATATTTGCAGATGGCAAATCTGTAGTGAGAGTGAGAGCTGGTGGAAGAGAGTCTGGAGAGGTAGAGGTGTATTTTGACAAGAAGAGGAAGAAAAGTCAGTGGAAGTGAGACAGAATCCACGCGTGAATGAGAGAGAGACACAAGATATAGAGATACTGAAGGTAGATGAGTGTAGTGCACAGATCTGTCAAAGGATGATCAATATGGAGCTGAGGAAAAGAGGAAGGCCACAGAATCAGTTTTATTGTCATTGCACTGAAACATAACAAAATTACATTTCAGTACAGCCCGTCCGAGTAAAACATAAACAAACAGACATGGGGAGACGGAGGTGTCTGAGGCCGCGGCCTCATGGGAGGCACTGCCTTTTTCATTTAGGTAGGAAAAGAGAAACGCGGGGGAAGAGGAGGTATTAAAAAAATCATATCTCACACTGTGTCCTAGACGGGAGACGGTGTGAAAGGTGCAAATAAAAAGCACAGAAACAGGAGCGGGAGGGAAAAGCGTCCGCCTTCGTCGAGAGCAAGCAGGAAAAAAGAGCAGGTTCATGGATCTGCAGAGGGTCGGTGTGACGGAGGAAGATGCTGATGGAGGCAGAAGATCAGCTGAGGAGAGAGCAGCTGAAATAAGAAGCCTGAACAGACAAATAAAGATAAATCGTTATAACGATTAAGTAAATAACTGTGATTAAAATGGGTTCATCGTCACCGAATCTGTGTATCAGAAACACGACGTTCTAAAAGATTCCCACTCCTGGGCATTTGAATGTTTCTTTGTTCAGTTCAGTTACTGAGCTGAAAACTACCAGCATCTGCTGCGTGAAGTTTCCTTCCTGCACATTTAATTTGTGGCAGCCCGTTTCAATTTCTCATTCCTCATTTTTGAGAAATTTGCGTGGCCTGTTCTGAGTCCTGCAGCGTTCTCGAGCCTTCCTTTAGTCGTGTCATTCTGCAAAACATGACGCTAAAGTTGCTAAATGTATCTTTGTAGTGGAGGATTTGTCTGTTTCTTGCCAAATGCGTCCTCAGAGTTACTGTTAATGCTTGTATTGATGTAACGTCAGAGGTTTATAATTAGTGGGCCAGATATTTTCTTATACCGTTATTAATCAACCGAACAATTTCAAGTCGTGCGCTAACCTACGCCTCAGTGAGTGTGTGGCGACTGGAAGTCACATAACATTGACTGCGCGGATAAATTAATGGCACTTTTTAATTTCTGCAGCAGAACAGACGCCCACAGTAACCGCTCACACTCTGCAACTCTGTCAGCGTGCAGCTCGAACAATCTGCAAGTGACGTTTTATCGAACCAAACTGATTTATATGTGAAAGCTGCATAAAATTAAGCAAAATGAATTGTTTAAACGGGACTTGTTTAATGTAATTGTAATAACTTTGTCTTCTTGAGAATAAATCAATCCAGAGAGCATAAAAAATGTTTTATGTGCATTACAAATTATTTAGTTTTTCTTTCTCTATTAAATATAGTTTTACATCATAATGCCACCTTACCTGTTTTAGCCCCAAAGAGGCGGAGCCTGGTGGGTGATTTACGGCGGGGTGGCAGTTTGAGAAAGGTGCTGTCAGCTGCAGTGTTTCAAGCCCCGCCTCCAGCAAATGGATATAATCCCAACATTAACTCCATTAACAGCATCAGGAGTTGAATTAAGAAAGCGGTAAAGCGTGCGCGCTGAAGGATGAGTTACAGCGCCTCTTCAGCTCGTCTTCAGCCGTTTGAGTCCGTTTTGAATTCTCTGAACTTCTACGGCTGATGCTTTTTTTTTTATCTGTGCTTTTGTCTTCCACTTGGCTCCATCTCCATATTATCTTCTATTAATGTCAAAACACCGAGCACGGGATCACACTTCGAGCCCAAATAAGTCCACTGTCTGTATGTGTGTGCGCTGTATATCAACGCTCACACACACACGTGCACACGTATTCCGAGTGCTCATCTTCTTTAGTGCTTCAGTATCGATCAGCACAGGATGTAAGAGACTGGGCAATAAAGTGAAGCAGCGCTCCCTCATCTTCACTTCTCCCTTTCCCGCATCCTCTCCCACATGCACCCCCCCCCCCCCCCCCGGTCATCCGTTTACTCGTTACTTATCACGTCTGTCATTCGCTTGTCGCTCGTAGTCATGTGTCGTCCTCCTGCAGCTGCTCTCTCTCATCGTGGATACTTCCATTAACTAGCGCCGAGTGATTTGGAAAATGTTCTAATTGCAATGGTTTTTTTTTTTACCTCAATATTACGATTTTATATGCGATTATTTTTCAACGAGCACGAGCAATAAATCTGTTTCAGTTGTAAAGAGCTCCACTGTTTTCAGCTCCGCTGCGGCTTCGTTTCTGCAGATTTTCTATCGCTCCGGGATAGCAACTTGGCTAAAATGTGTGCGAGGGCGTTCTGTCCCGCTTGTCCACTGTGTTTACCTGTAAACCCAGGCTTTGTCACTGTATTAATGGGCATCGGGTCTTTTGCTTTGAACTCCGCTATTGCTCGAGTTATTTCCTCGTGCCGTTTCGAACTATGTTCATACGGAGTAATACCTTCGACCAGTTCGGTCAGTGATCCCTGTCGGCTGCTGCTTTGCTTACTTTAAGTTGAAGCGCTGCTCGTTGGCGTTCTATCCGTGCAACTATCGTAAATGGC